AAGTTGTTCAGGATTGTCTTCTTCAGTATTTTGATCTTCCTCAGAGCAGTCAGGGATCAGAATAGGAACGATTTTGCTATCATTTTGTGCTTCTCCAAGAACTTGATGAAGATGCTCATCTCGATCATTTTTACATTCATGCAAGAGTTGTATATTTTCTATGATTTTGAGTGAGCTGGAGGAAATCAATGGTTTTCAAATTTCGAACGCCTCAAACTATATTTGATTCACTGCACAAAGGTCATGCACTGATCTCCATGACACGAATAAAGTTAGTAATGCACGACAATAACGCTCGCGTGTTTCTTCTCGTTCGCTACGGAGTATTTGAGGACCAAGAAGAACTGGTACAACTGGAATGGTGTATTTAATGATTATATGTGATGATGACTGTGGATGTACACTTTCAAAGGTGTGTCGTTCACCTTCATACACATTGGCATTCTTTAGTAAATGGCGATCTGATTTGTCAATCACCTTCTTGTGAAAATGACTGACAAAGTCATATAGGCATAATTCAGTTAGATCTTTTGAGCGATACTGATAATCAAGGCGAGTATTCACCATAGCATACCGATTAGCGTTTTTCGTTTGTGTTGGCTCGAAAAGAAACTATTCTTCAGTTTCTTTTGCATCATCTTCTTCGCCTTCATAGAAGGGAATTGACATATCTACAAAAATCGAATATTTAATATCTGTGTAATCATTTTAGAACTCGTTACCACCTGGTTGCTCTTCACCAATATTTTTTCACTTAACCGTACCGTTATTAGTTCTGTTTGCAGATAATTTTCAATCGAGATGAGAAAAAGATTTCTAAATGTATGTGTAGTATAATGATCACCATAGTTCATTAGGTATGAAGCCTCTTAAACACCGGAAACTTCTTGATGTGAAGCAATCATATTATAGCACCGTAACACAAGTTTACGTGATTTTTCAACAGCGTTGTCGGTCCCGTTTAAAGGTTGGTGCTGCTCAATAGATTTTGATTCCTTGTTGTACAAGAGAAAACATATCGTAGAAAGCCAGACTTGATTTCGTTACATAATCAGTTATACAATACACTAGGGCTTTAGCATCGTTCCCAGTCCGGATAAATTTTATATCCATTTTGAATCGGCAAGCACTTATGATCCATTCATTGAAGTTGTTGATCCATGGATGTGATCAACGCATAGTTGTCTGACCTGTAGATGAATCGATGTTGGAAGTCTTCACGAGCATACATGGTATACGCATTCGACAAGTTTTAGAACCATTAGACTTTCCTTTCGAGTATTTGTAGAACGTTTCAACAAGTAGCACAGTATCTTTGCGAAACATTTGTGGAAATTCACAGAACTCAGGGTCCGGTGTTGGTAAACAAACGGGAACAACTTCATTGGCTGCTGGTTCAGCTTCTTCTAGAATAATGACAAAAATGAGAGCTAAAATATAAGAAAAAGTAATAAGCTCACGATTCGATGCGTCATAATTATTTGTTGAACTTATCAGATCTTCAATTTCATCTTTAAAAATAAGAGTCAAATATACAAGTAAATATATTATAATTCAATTATTAAGATTGACCCAACTAGGAAATTTGAAATAAATACATTGTGTGTTCTCTAGAGTTTCTTGGAAACTCGTCTCTAAGCTAAAGCAACGACAAAGCATCGTCAGCGTATAAAATTCCCTCAGATATACAAATGTGAATATTTCAAATCACAAACTCGAACATTGCAGTGTATGTATTACCTCGAAATAGATCTAAACCTTCTTTTACAATATCTTCTAAATACTTGAGTAACTGTGCTGGAGTGAACTCGTGATTAAGCCAAATAAGAAGATGTAAGTGAAGCGATCCTCTGTCTTGGTTCTCCACAGTGCCAAAGTATGCATTTACAGGACCAAGTACACCGCCAAGCACCAAAGATTTTAAGACGCGTTTTATCAAACAATTAAAGAATTTTGCAGCGGCAACTGGATGAGTTGCGATGATGTTGGCACGTTCATAACTAGTGCCCAACGCTTCTGGCAGAACCTTGTCAAGATCTAGATCGACGTCTGAAAAATAAAGTGCTACTGGACTATGTATGTCAGCTGAATTGATCGTTACAAAAATGCTAGGGAGACCAAGATTAAAACATAAAGAGTGAATTTTGTACGAAGAGTCGATCGCGAATGAGCTGAACCCATAACATGACCCCTAACAACTCAGATGTGTGTCATAAGTATATATATTCTTTGGTCGACAGCTTTTGAATACGTGCCTTTTGAAATATTCACAAGAGCTGTTGCCACACCGGCAGGTTGTGGGTGTTGGGTGTGGGTGTGTGGGGTGTGGGTAACAGATAAACTATACTCGCACGCACACCCACACCCACATGCTCGAACCTGTGAAAGTTGGCTTGATTCCCTTTCCGATAGTTATCATTAAATACCGTCAAGCGATAATCAGACTGTCGTCTTGCAAGAAAACACTGATGTTCATATTTTCTAATATATGAAGGTGAAATGAACGATGCATATATAGACAATCTTGCTGATGACAGTCAGGAGTTTGAGATTGTTTGTATTTAGAAAATAAATAATTTTTTTTCTTTATTATGAAATTTTTTTTTGTATTGATAACAAAATAATAAAAAGTACGCATAATAAATGAAGAAAAAAAGAATTGTTATTTAAATAAAAAGAAACAATTGTAGCGCGAGACTTTTCGAATTTATCATTATTAATGAGTTTTCAAAAACAGTTCAATTGGATGAAGTATGGTGGATGCTTTTACATATAATGTACTAAACCAAAACGGTTCAAAGAGAATGTGGGTGTGGTTAAACAGAATACCAACATCTATACTCACATTCTTCTTGATATTATTAAAAGTACTGGTTATAAATGCACATTTTAATCCAGATTTGTGCAGCTTTCTCTTAGACTCCAACGAGATGATTTAAAGATCAGAGACCAATAATTATGATTTTCCTAGTAAAAGGATGAAGAAAGGCAGCAGAAAAGGCGGCATTGAATGACNAAGTTAGTAATGCACGACAATAACGCCCGCGTGTTTCTTCTCGTTCGAGACGGGGTATTTGAGGACCAAGAAGAACTGGCATAGCTGGAGTGGTGTGTTTAATGATTATATGTGATGATGATTATGGATGTACACTTTCAAAGGTGTGTCGTTCATTCATTTTTGTACCTTCCGTATGTAGCCGTTCACCTTCATACCCATTGGCATTCTTTAGTAAATGGCGATCTGATTTGTCAATCAGCTTCTTGCGAAAATGACTGACAAAGTGATATAGACATAATTCAGTTAGATCTTTTGAGCGATGCTGATAATCAAGGCGAGTATTCACCATAACATACCGATTACCGTTTTTCGTTTGTGTTGGCTTCAAAAGAAACTGTTCCTCAGGTTCTTTTGCCTCATCTTCTTCGTCTTCATAGAAGGGAATTGACATCTCTACAAAAATCGAATATTTAATATGTGTGTAATCATTTTAGAATTCGTTACCATCTGGTCGTTCTTCACCAATATTTGTTTCACATAACTATACCTTTATTAGTTCTGTTTGCAGATAATTTTCAATCGAGATGAGAAAAAGATTTCTAAATGTATGGGTAGTATCATGATCACCATAGTTCATTAGGTATGAAGCCACTTGAACACCAGAAACTTCTTGACGTGAAGCAATCATATTATAGCAACGTAACACAAGTTTACGCGATTTTTCAACAGCGTTATCGGTCCCGTTTAAAGATTGGTGCTACTCAATAGAGTTGATTCCTTGTTGTACAAAAGCAAACATATTGTAGAAAGCCAGACTTGATTTCGTTATATAATCAGTTATATAATACACTAGAGCTTTAGCATCGTTCCCAGTCCAGATAAATTTTATAGCCATATTGGATCGGCAAGCACTTATGATCCATTCATTGAAGTTGTTGATCCATGGATGTGATCGACGCATAGTTCTCTGACCTGTATATGGATCGATGTTGTAAGTCTTCACGAGCATACGTGGCATACGCATTCGACAAGTTTTAGAACCATTGGACTTTCCTCTCAAGTATTTGTAGCACGTTTCAACAAGTAGCACAATATCTTTGCGAAACATTTGTGGAAACTCATAGAACGCAGAATTCGGTGTTGGTAAACAAGCGGGAACAACTTCATTGGCTGCTGGTTCAGCTTCTTCTAGAATAATAACAAAAATGAGAGCTAAAATATAAGAAAAAGTAATAAGCTCACGATTCGATGCGTCATAATTACTTGTTGAACTTGTCAGATCTTCAATTTCATCTTAAAAAAAATAAGAGTAAAATATACAAGTAAATATATTATAATTCAATTATTAAGACTGACCCAAATTGAAAATTTGAAGTAAATGCATTATGTGTTCTCTAGAGTTTCTTGGAACATCGTCTCTGAGCTAAAGCAACGACAAAGCATCCTCCACGTATAAAATTCCCTCAGATACACAAATGAGAATATTTCGAACCACAAACTCGAACATTGCAGTGTATGTATTACCTCGAAATAGATCTAAATCTTCTTTTACAATATCTTCTAAATACTTGAGTTACTGTGCTGGAGTGAAGTCATGATTAAGCCAGATAAGAAGTTGTAAGTGAAGCGATCCTCTACCTTGGTTCTCCACAGTACCAAAGTATGCCTTTACAGGACCAAGTACACCACCAAGCACCAAAGATTTCAAGACGCTTTTTATCAAACAATTAAAGAATTTTTAAGCGGCAACTGGATAAGTTGCGATGATTTTGGCACGTACATAACTAGTGCCCAACGCTTCTGGCAGAACCTTGTCAACGTCTAGATCGACGTCTGAAAAATAAAGTGCTACTGGACTATGTATGTCAGCTGGATTTATCGTTACAAAAATGCTAGGAAGACCAAGATTAAAACACAAAGAGTGAATTTTTGTACGAAGAGCCGATCGCGAATGAACTGAAACCATAACATGACCACTAACAACTTTGATATGCGTCATAAGCGTATATATTCTTTAGTCGGCAGCTTTTGAATAAGTGCCTTTTGAAATATTCATAAGAGCTGTTGCCACACCGGCAGGCAGTGGGTGTGTGGGTAACAGATAAACTATACTCGCACGGACATCCACACCCACACGCTCGAACCTGTGAAAGTTGGCTTGATTCCATTTCCGGTAGTTATCATTAAATACTGTCAAGCGATAATCAGACTGTCGTCTTACAAGAAAACACTGATGTTCATATTTTCTAATATATGAAGGTAAAATGAACGATGCATATATAGACAATCTTGCTGATGACCGTCAGGAGTTTGAGATTGCTTGTATTTAGAAAATAAATAATCTTTTTCTTTATTATGAAATTTTTTTTGTATTGATAACAAAATAATAAAAAGTACGCATAATAAATCAAGAAAAAAAGAATTGTTATTTAAATAAAAAGAAACGATTGTAGTGCGAGACTTTTCGCATTTATCGTTGTTAATGAGTTTTCAGAAAACAGTTCAGTTGGATGAAGTATGATGGATGCTTTTACATGATTATATGTGCTAAACCAAAACGATTCCAAGAGAATGTGGGTGTGGTTAAGGGTACCCCCCCCCCCCTCTTTTTTGACACTTTCTGATTCTCGAAGACGGTACGACC